AATAATAAAATAACAGAAACACTCTGAAAGAAGCAGCCAAGACACTTAAATAGCTGTTTTCCTATCCAAGTCCTCTCTGTACCTTCCTGAAGTTTTACATCAAACAGATGTAACTTCAAGTATTCAAAAACAGTTCTTCAGTGTGAGGTTTTTGAAAAGCCAGAGCACAGTAGCTACTCAGCTTCCAGCAGCTCTGATCCTTCAGATATTACTTCTACCCCTGCCCCTTTTACCTGTCTACATGCAGGAAATAAGATTATTTCTAGCAGTGGCTGCAGTGGGCAGTGAAGTCCCAAGGCCTTGTGGACTTTTACAAGCTGTTTCATTTTAGGCCACAGCTATTATATGGATGATACCTGCAATCAAGCACAAAATAAGTAGATTGATTCTTCATAAGCCCAAACAAGAATTCTGTTCAGTACAAGCCATAAAATACTGAAATCACCAACTCTGGTAGTAGTTACACTTACACTCCTTCCATGAGGACAGTTGTAGTCATGTGTCATTCACACTGGTACTGCAGCAGTAAATCAAAGTGATAGAAGGTGAACAGTTTAAATAAAATCTTTAATTGCTTATTTACAACAAAGGCAGTGACTTGGCAAATTGAAAATGATGGTTTCCACTTTCTCACTAACTTCGGATACAGTAAGTACACACTCAGCTAGAAAATCTGCAGCCTAGTGAGTAAGGCGCAATATTTACATCACACTAGTACTGCAAAAAAAGCACTTAAGATGCATTTACTGACAGCCAGAAGTTAAACATTTATCCTGTAAATGCTAACAATGCTGAAAAACAAACTTAAGAGCTTGTCACTTAAAGGTCAGTGTTCTACTGGTTTGGGTTTGCTTTGTTTTTTGTCAGATTGCAAACATGCAATAGTAGTAAAAACCTGATAATGGGATAAAAACAATTCCCCTCTGCCATTGTCAGTTCTTGCAAAATAACCATTTGATACGAGTATACTGCTCCTTGTCTGAGAGCTAATGCTAGTAACTCCAGTAATAAGACTAGCTACAGTTTTACCTTAGCAAAAATCTTCTCTTGGGTGGTGGTGGGAATAAAAGAGCTATTACATTTGAATCCAGGCTATACTAGAAGCATAATACAATCACACACAGACACAAATTTAAGAGTACAAATTACTACAGACACATTGTCAAGATAATCCTGCTTTAACAGCTTAAAAAAATTTAAGTGTTAAAGAATTTATTGCAGCCCAAAATAAAGAAATCAGTTTTGTTTTCTACTTTCTTTTTGACATCCTTTATTCCCCCTCCATGTATTTTAAGGTAGTAACCATTACTCTTATTTTAGAAGGGTAGGAAATAAAGTAGTCAAGGTGTTAATCCAAAACTTACCATTCTGGCTGTCTCTTCTCAATCAATGTAAAAGACTTACAAACTATGAGCTACAGGGACAACAGATACACCAATCATATGATCTGGGCATGGAATTTGATAGCAAGGCCTGTAGGGAATGCTTTGTTTGTACAGATTCTCTACTGCTGCTCTGTACTAAGTATCTTCCTGAAGGGGCTTTAATTTAGCTATGCAGGAAAGGGAAGAAAGTGGCATCTGTACAGAAGTTACCATTTCATCCACACTCCATTCAGCACTGGGGTATGGAAGTTAACCATCATTAAGAGGACAAACAAAGTTAATGCAACAGTTTTTGCTACTGCCCTTCTTAAATTACATTCTTGAAATCAAGTTAACCCATTGCTAGTAGCACTTGCACTTCACCTTTAGAAGAGCAGAATATGTTTTCCAACCGTTTCTTTTGCATTAATGAAAGTGTAATTTTGCTGTGATGTGTAGTGCTAAGCAGTTAAGGAGTTGATTCTGAAACTTATGCAGAAACCTTTCCCGTGTGCGTGTTTTAGATCCATGGGGCACTCACAGACAGTCACATCCATCAGAGATTCAGACTTTGGATGTCACAGTCACAGCCTCTTCCTGTCCACGCAGAGCCTTTGCCAAGCTTTGACCTTCCTGGCTAATAGTACATGTTCACAGGACACGTGTGGCAAGTATGCAACAGACTCCTTGACACATTCAAAGAAAAGCTGAGTCTAACTTTTATCTAAAGCTTTCTCTGATACATTGTGCTCCAGTTCGGGTGAGTCCTCAGCATCTTGAAGAGCAGAAGGATTATAAATACCATCAATAGCAGGGGCTGTCGTTGGCGTTGTGAGAGGTGTCACAGTGTGTCCAAACCCCTGATAATGACCCATGGGTGAAGATGGCATTGAAGAAGCATCAGAAATTGGGTCTTGAGTAGATGAAGACAGTAAACTTGTATGCTCATTTTGTTCATGATCCTCAGCAAAAAACATTTTCCTTGGCTGGCCCAAAACTGTCCTTCCTGGAATTATGCCAAATGAAAAGATTTTTTTAATCCTTCCAGCACTATACCAGTCTCTAAACACATCAATTCTAAACTAGGCATGCTAAATTAGAAGAGTCTTTGGTTTGTATCAGCTTTACATGGGCATAGTTAGTTTTAATAAATAAAAGGAAACCAGAAAGAACATCCATCACTTTACCTAACACACCTTAAATTCTAAATCACTCAGGAACACTGGAAAGAGCAAAGTGCCAGATAAACCATGAAGTCCTCCAGGGAAGCAGCTGCCACTAATTTGGTAATGGAATGCTCTCAAGATACTACAGAGATAGGCAATAGTGCCATGAAGCTGGAAATACATATGCTGTTAACAGATTGTACCAATCTTATCTTGTTACTTACCAACATTTCGAACCTGTTCTGATATATCAGCCCTTAGGTCAGAAATGTCCCACATTGCAAGAAAGGAGTCAAAGCATGACCCTTCTTCAGCTTCTTGAACATAAGGTTTATAGGAGAAACTGTAGTGATGAGCAATAGCAGCTAGGAACATTTCCACACAAATGATAAAATCCTGCAAGAAGAGAAGCACTGACTTAATCACTCATAACTGCAGAAAAATAGTTCTGGGTTACTTCTACAATTGAAAGATTGCAATTGCCCTGGGATACTGACATCAGCTACTTTTTCACCAGAAGCAGAATATTCCTGGCAGCCTTTAGAAAGCATCAGTCCTTCCCTGACAGGACAAGGAGCAATGGGTACAACTTGAAAGAGGGGAAATTTAGGTTAGATGTTAGGCAGAAGTTTTCCCTGTGAGGGTGGTGAGACACTGGCACAGGTTGCTCAGGGAGGTAGGAGATGCCCCAACCCTGGCAGTGTTCACAGCCAGGTTGGATGAGCCTTGAGCAACCTGCTCTGGTGGGAGGTGTCCCTGCCAAGGGCAGGGGGTTGGGACTAGATGATCTCTCAAATCCATTCCAACCTCTAAAATCCTATGATTCTATGATGGCCTGACTTGCTTGATGTGGATATTCAACAAGCAGCTCTACCATGAACACTTGCAAGAAGAAATGCAAGGATAGTCAATGAAAGTATTTAACTGAGGCACATTCTTTCTGCCCAACACAGGGATATAGAAGTGTTGAACATAAAACTTGCTTGGGGTGACTTAGAATAAAGTACTAATTTAGCCTGTGTTAATTACAGTGGGTATAACAATATTTGCTTGAGATCAGCTATGTCATCTTACATACAGCCATTCCTCCCCAGAAGTAACTGATCCTACCTGCAGGCCTGTTGCCACAGCTTCCACACTTTGCCAATCCCAGGTGTGTTTCTCAGAAATAACACCAACTTTCACCAACAATGCAATGAGCACAGCCTGCCTATAAAGATTATTTAGTAGCATTATTATTATTATTCTAACAGTAATGGCAAAAAATCTGCAAGCAAATCAGGTAAACAAGTCCAGTTCATGTGTGTGCACCAGAAGAATCTTACACAAAACTTACTGTTCATGTATTTAGATTTTAAGATGAGGAAACGGACTTAAAAAAAGATGTCATTCATCCATGACCCTAAAGACCAACAGGGAAAACAACCAAAGCAGAGTTTGTTGTCCCAGTTAGGCATTAGAACAAGTTGCTTCTCTTTCAGGCTATTGTTGCAGCCCAGAGTAACATTCAGATGTTCAAATACACTCGCTCATTAGCAGCTAAGTGCGAGCAATGCTCAAATAAGCAATTTGTAGTTAACTTACAGAAAAAGAAAACGTTGTTTTGAAATCACTGCAAGTGAAGATTCTAAAATGAGTTATATTCTTGAGAACCACCTTACAAAACACCAAGTCTAAGAAATAACCTTGAGTGAACAAGATTGCTCTGTCCAACATACTAATATTCTTTTTCCCTCACTGCACTTCACTTATATTATGGGGTAGATTTTTCAAGGCCTCTAAGCTCAGTAACAAACAGACCCTTTTTAGCTCTTTTGTGATCCATCCTGAAAACCAGAAGTAATGAGTAAATGGTTCACTTACCAGAAAGAAACAAAAACTACCATCTTCACACAAAGGAACTTGCCAACAGGTTGGATAGGGTTCAGTTCCTCACGCAGGACTTTGTAAAACAACACCAGACAATACATAGCAAACTGACAAAGAAAAGGAAAAAAAAAAGCTTTCAAATCCTTGGGTTTTTGTGAGGGAGTTGTTTTACAGCATCTCTTCAGTTAAAAAATGCATCATGCTATGATACAAACTTAAAAAGCTATCTATTTTTATAAAAAAGAATCTTTTCCTTACTGTTTTAAAGCAGATTTTTTTTTTTGCCTGAAATTGTATTTCTGAAATGCATTGTATTGGCAGAGACCTGAGGTCAGCTATATGCACACAAAAGAAAGCATAAGAAGGGCCCATAAAATCTTTTCAATGCCAAGCACACCTCTAGGGAAAATGGCACAAAAAGCACATGTTCTTTCAGACTTCTGTTAAGAACACCTCAAATGATGCCTCTGTATGAGGCAGGAGACAATTAATGCAATCCTCACTGCAAATCTGAACAAGCTTCCTATTAACGACAACTGCAAGAAGCTGAAGCAATATACAGCCAAACCTCAGGAACTGATCTCTCCTTGTCACACACCCTCTCCTACCTGCTCACTACTAAGTTTTCCTAAGCAATCATGTCAACCAGGACACACAAGTACATGCTGCTGCTGGGACTGCTGTCACAGCAGAAAGCAGTTACAGCTCCTTCTGTAACAGTCACCCATCAAACACAAGGGTAGCAGGAGGAGGACACAAATTCCAAGTGAACCCAGTTGTTGAGCTGCTCTTACTCCTGCTGCTGCTGCCAAGGGAAATAAACGCAATCCCTGACCTCCAAAATGAAAAAAATTTCAATTTTAGGGGCTGACATCTTACTCAGACATCATGTGCCACTGGGCCAACAAGAAGAGGTGTTAGGCAGGTCAGAATCTCAGCACTGCACACACTGTTTCTATTTTTTCCTGTCAATGTTGTTATCACTAGCTATGCAACACAGCATTTTTACCACAGCTACTGCTGATTCTTTCCCTGTGTGCTGGGAGGAAGCTACAAGGGCAAGTGAAGTCATCTCTTCTGCAGAGGGGTAAATCTGCAGCTCTAACACCTGGGCCATACCAGCTCACCCATCAAATCATTTGGGGTAGAGAGGTGAGACACTTCATGGTTTTTATGCAGCTTTGTAGTAAAAATAATAAGTTTTAGATTATTTGTTTCTCTTGTGTTTTTCATATATAATACTTAACTGAGAGTAACTTTGACTTAAAGTGGAAAAAAACTGTACTCATAAGAACTACCAAACCTTAACACAATTATTGCCAACACTTCACACAGAAGAATCACATAATACTAACATGATGCCTTAGAAGAGCAGAATGATACTCTGATACTCACTAGCTGTGACATGTTGTTAAGTATAACCAAGTAAGTCCAAGCATTCTTGAAGCTGAAGTTTCCTTCATCATATACTCCCACTAGCTCACAAATCCTGCAAGAATGCTGAGAGTTAATCACAGTGCAGTAATAGATTACCAGTTCCTTGGAGTGCTACATCTCATTACCTCAATCAACTCTTAGGATCCAAACCCTCTTTTGCTACTCAAATATGAGCATTGGGGGCTTGCACAAGAATCAGTTTCCAACTGATTAATATTATATATATAACATACATGTTTATATAGATATGGTTTATAAGTAGCAACTTTTTCAGTCCCATAGACTTAATAGTAGTGACCATCAATACAAAGTTCATTAAATTCAGCTTTCAGCATCAGCATGCAGAACTGCCTACTATTCCTTTAGAACCCCAGGCAGTATGATGTGTATGAAGGCACAAAGTCAAGCTTGTCACATGCAAAGTTTAACAACATGTTAAAAGTTACATGAAACCTGTCTTTAAAAATGCCTCAAAAATACACAGTAAAGGGAGAAGGAAAAAAACCCTACAAATTAAGAGATCCTAACAATGTGTTTCCCACCCCAACAGTACTTCACATTCTCTCCCACTGATTTCAGCTGCAGGCATTAAGTATTTATCATCTCAATTCTGCAAACAGTCATTTGCTATAGAGAAGTCATAAAGAAATCACAGGTTGATTCAAATTGTTGGGACCCATTTAGCATGTAACGTGAGTCTGCTTTCAAACTGCCTTGATTCAATACAAAGGGCATGAAAAGTTTTGCCAGTGTAACTCAAAATTACGTCCTGAAGATCAATATTAATTATTTATGAGTGTACTTACAAAGCAATAATGGTAGTAAATGGCCTGACAACAGTGTACTGCAAAACACCCAGTTTACATCTAAATAATAACACTCTGCAAGAGAAACACAAAATTGATTGTGTAAGGACTTAAATACAATTCACATATGGACGTTCCCTTTTCTCAGTAGATTCACTAAAGTACATTTTTATCTTATGGTAATTTCAACTTCAGCTTCCAGGACTTCAGATGCTACAGCACGTGGAGTGTACACACAAGATGCACAACAGACCTGGACTATACAGACACATGACAGGAAATACTCAATGATTCACTTATTTTAGCCATTAAAAGCTTCTGGCTGGGCTAAACAATGAGGATGCAATTTTCTCTGTGTTTGAAGATGTCTGAGAATGACTTTGAATCACAGTTTGTCTTCCACATTTTAAACAGCTTTATCAAAACCCCTTAAGATATTTCATCAGTTTAAGTATGCAGAAATAAACAGTTCAGGTGCATAAGGCCTTTCATCCTTCACCTGTGGAAGTAAAAGCAATAGGCTATCTGGTCTACCCCTGATTCCATATTTTTGGCAAATATTTTATGATAGCAAAAGAAGCCAATTCCAGGAGACCTTTTCCCAACATTTTTCAAAATGAGAAAGTTTCCTTCAGCACCACCTGAGTCAATACATGTCAGTAACTAAGTGTAACCTGCAGGATGTTTTACAGCTAGATGGTAACAAGTTCACAGCGACTTCCAGTAGAGCTTCATAAACTAAACATATACCAACCATAAACTGGCTCTGATAAGCAACAACAGTTATGCTGCTAAATAGGAAAGCCAAATGTTTCTATCTGACTACACAGCCTAAAATGTTAAGCTGTTCTCATATACTCACTCTCCCATAGCCCACGACGGGCAGCAGCACAGAGGAGGAAGATGTCGCTGCTGATCTTTCACTTCTATGATTAATACGAGGTTTGGGTACCGGTTGGTTAGATAATTTGAAAGAAAAACCATAAAATTATAGATGACATAAGCTTCATAGCATTCTCGACATGTATCCACATATATTGCAATGTTGGGGTATTTCAAAGCTATCCACTGTAAGAAGAGAGGTACACAAAAGGTTACGTGCAAGAAACAAGTGGTTCCAATGCCAACACTGGCTCATTCAGTGACAAATACTTCATGAGACAGCAGGCACTAAGCAAACAGGGCTGGGAGCATTGGGCTAGCAACAGAGTGATGCCCAGGGAGGTAGCAGATACCCCAATCCTGGCAGTGTTCATCTATACCAGGTTGGGTGAAGCCTTGAGCAAACTGGTCTAGTGGAGAGGTGTCCTTGCCCAGGGCAGGGTGTTGGGAATAATGATCCCTAAAGTCCATTCCAACCCCTAAAATTCTATGATTCTATTAAAGCAGTGTGCTGTAAAAATACCCATGGAACTTCACACTGCAGCTCTGCTGCTTCAAACGGAAGCAGCTCAAAGCACTGCACAAGAGCTGTTCTGTATCTCTGACCACACAAATCAGTCTCCTGTTCAAGGAGATGGTTCCCTGTACACAACCTATTAGATTTGGAGGAGACAGCATGGAACTGTTTCCTGAAATTCACAGATTCATTGTCAACATGGATTTAAGAACGAAGTTTTAGTCTACTAGTCTAAAGTTGATTTCTTTTTGTATTTAACGGATCAATGTTTGTTCTTCCATTTTGCAGAATACAGAAGGGAGCACACATTAGACTTAGAGTGGAGCCAACCCTCTAAACCAGAATTTCAGACAGAAAAGGGATTTTTTTAAGCAAAACTGTCAGAGCTTTCCATTTTAATTTTGAGTATCACACTGCTGCTGCACTGTGCAAAAGATCTTATCCTTAGTCCCCTGAAGTAAAGAGGAACAATTTTAGCACTAAGCAATCTCTCAGGGAAGAATGTGAGTAGTGAACCTAACTCAGGTAAGACACTTAATTTTGAGTCAGTACTTGGATCAGTCTGGTTTCCAATTCAGCTGTTAAGATGGAAAGACCAAGAGCAGGTTCTTGTCATACCCCTTTCCACATCTGTCAAAGGCTACTCGAGGACAGGGTGAATGTATTATCACTAGAACTATGCTTCTGACATGCTCCACAAACAGGAACGCCCAGAGGTTTCTAGGACTACTACTCTCCATGCAGCACAGTTTCTGCTGTGACACTGTTTGCCCTCCCTCCCACAGCAAACAGAATTTGAGCTGTCAGAAGTAAGAGAACACTTACACTGTCTAAACTGTAAATCGGCACCATCCACAGAATCCTGTGACAACAACAGAAGAACATTTAGTATCACTAGAAGCATTTTCAGCCTGAATTAATTCAACATTTGTAGCGCAGGTAAAATGTGAAATGTTACCTTATTATTGGTTTCTGTAGTTCAGGCTGAGTATAATGGACTAAGTGTTGTAGTATGCCCCAGAGAGATATTGGTATGGTCATTAGCAGAAATATCCCAGCGATAAACCATGCCTTGGTATGAATTCCAACCTTATAAAGAGAAAGGAGAATGCCAGATCAAAGTTTCAGTCTTGATACTTTAAAGCATTTCAAGTACACAAAATATACTGCAAAAACAGAGTAATGCCCACTATTTCATTTACTGAAACCCACAGTAGATTCCATGCTTTAGGTCTGCAACATGTCTCAGGTCAGTGCTGCATTATAAAGACTCTGAAAGGTTGTGGACCGAATGAATTCTCAGCTCTGAATCCAAGTTCCAATTAGTAATTAATTTAACAAACTGAAATGGCTATGTGCGTTTACATACAAAAATATAATGTCTGCCAAAACACAGGGCTGAAATTTTAAACCAAAGCTCTCAGAAAAACAACTACATTAATAATCCTGAGCATCAAAAACTGAGAAACAAACACAGTAGTATCTCCTCAGGTTTTTCTGTTGAGGATTTCTTCTCCAAACCCCCTCAACATTCCATGGTTTTTGTTGCTTCCCAGCTTTGCTTCTGAGTAGTTACTCTACAAGTATCAGACTCAACGGTATAAACTTGGATGCAAACATTCATTATGCTCAACATCCATTACACATCAGAACAGGATTGCAAAACAGGTAATAACAGATGTTACTAAGCCATTAAAATCATCCCATAAAAAAAAGCTTACCTCCAGTGCTATGTATCACACTGAACAATACGTGCATTTTAAGGTCAAGACTTTCATTCGTGTGAAGAGAAGTGCTGCTACCACGTGTTTAACTCTGTATACCACTGTCGTGGCACCACCAGCATGAAAGAGAAGCTTCTTTATCAGTGTAGTAAGTTTACCCAATTCTCCTTGATATGCCAGATTTATGACTGTCAGATTTACCTTTATGAATTCCAGAATTACCTTTACAAATGGCAGGATCATAGAATCACTGAATCACAGAATCAACCAGGTTGGAAGAGACCTCCAAGATCATCAAGTCCAACCCTACCATGGTTACTAGACCATGGCACCAAGTGCCACATCCAGTCTCAGCTTGAAAACCTCCAGGGATGGGGAATCCACCTCCTCCCTGGGCAGCACATTTCAATGCCTGAGCACTCTCCCTGAGCACTCAACCTAACCCTCCCCTGGCAGA